AAAAAAGGATGAGAACCACTGCTCTATACATCCTCTTCAGTGTCTTCCAACATGGAGAGGAATTTGCTATAACTGCCAGCTAGAGGATTAAGATTCTAATTTAGCAAAGCATCTGAAGATGCTTAATTCTAAACTTATGGGTAGTCCCCTTGATATCAATTTAAGTACACAATTAAGTGTTTTGTGGAACTGGGTCCTTACTCCTTGAGCCCAAGCCATAGGGGTTCATTTTGAGTTCAGTGTCAGATTCATTCCTTGGAATGACCAAAAATGACAGCCATTACACACATCAGAAAACTCTGCAGAGTGACTTCAGTCATCCTTGCAACCTTTCACTGGGGACAGCTGATTGGAAATAAAGGTAGGTACAAATCACTTCACAAAAGAACATGGTAAGTTTGTATATGGTAGGCAAATAATACTTTTATAGTTAAAATCAAAAGGTTGGCAAAAGAGGTCTAAAATGACTGCAGTAATTAAGGAATTTTAACTTAATAAAAAACCATTGCTAACCAAAGTTAGTAAGAGTTTTGAAGTTTCTTTGTTACAGCCCGATTTTGGTTTAGTGAGGGCTCTTCTTAGATCATTTATGAAGGACACTGGCTCTCCAGCTTTTCCAGAGCTTTAAACTCTGGAAGTTTCTTAAGGAGGTGGTGTTGGTGTCAGAGAACTAGAGATGTAGTTACAGTTATGTGCCTGCACCAGCCAGTTTGTTTAATAGTGTCACTGTGACTGAGTGCTTGCCAAGGCAAAGCTGCAATGTGAGCTCCTCTGGGAACTGGATATAAAAGGAAACAGTCCTTTCCCAGTTTCCACCTCCTGTGGACTTCCAGCCCTCTCTTCTGTTCACATGCCCTTTATTTCAGCCAGTGCGCTGGGCTGACAACTGCAGCAACAAGCTTCAAAACTAAAAATCCACAGTATAGCAAAACAAGAGACAAAAAGGAGGTGGGAGCAGAGGGAGGAGATAATCATTAGGAATCCTCTGTATAAATTATCTGTGCTTTAGTTTCAGCTCTTTCCTGGAAATACCACTCCTAGGCAACACTGTTACATTCTTACAAAGTCACAAAGTATTTCTCAAAAAATAATTTACATAATTTCTACTGTAAATAGCTTAGTTCAATATTTTGTGGGAATACTGTAACCCCTCCCTCTATGCACATATGTTGTATAAATAGTTTGCAAATAGTTTTAAAGTGTGCAGTTGACATGACATGTTATACATAAATATATTAAGTATAATTAGAAATTAGATACAAACAGGCCACATTAATCGCAATTCTCTGCATGCTGAGACACTTGCAAGAATTAGCTAGCAGACACAAGAGTAAAGACCTCTTGGTGTCTTTTGCATGTTAAGGTCCAGACTATCCTGCTAACTAGTCCATATGTAGACAAATGTTAATTCACAAAACACACTGTTCCTAAGTGAGGATTAAACATACATTAAATGAGACACCTACCGCTGTAGAGCCACAAATGGTGGCTACAAAGACTTTGATCACCATTCTGGCAACAATAAAAATGAATCCGTAGAACAAACAAGTTTGTTATCAACAAGTCACTGGAGCTGTGAAAGTAATCCTAACATGCAGGAGCTTCTAGGGTAGCCAGAATCCCAAATGAATCCCCCTTTTACATCTCTCTAATGAGTTCAGCCTTTCCCACCCACTGATACCATGGGTTTCCCTACTTCATTGGCTCTTAGGTATTTTGGGAGTCTAGAGGCCAGTAAAGGATTGGTTGGTAAAAGTATCCATAGCAGGGGGATTTGCACCTGCCTCTGGCCTCATCACTTTAGATTGACCGGGTGACAGTCCATAAAAGGCAAGGGAAAGTGGTGCACCAATCAGACAAGGCAAGAGAAGTGTTTTGGGAGAAAGGAAAGGGATCTCAGTGCTAGACCTTCTCACAAAGCAGCAGGACAATGTTTAAAATTGTGTCAGCACTTTCATATCAGCTCCTTGTATGTAGGGGGCCACACCCTCTCTCTCTGACCTAAATAAGAGCTTGACTTGAAAATCATGCATACGGTTTGAAAGCAACAGTAGTGGAGATTACCCTGAACTAAGCCGAAGCTCCAAATATCCTGAGCTTTGAGGAATTCAGATCACATGCCATGCTTCCTGGCTCTGGCTCTCCGCTGAGATATAAGTTATGCATTATTTTTTGGAGCGAGATTTGAATGATTTTATGCATGAGACCCTAAAACAGAATGTTACTGTGTTCTGCATGGCCAGTGAAAATCTCCCCCTACTCTTTGTTAGAGAGGAGCTATGCTTTTTCTTTGTAAAAATATTCCCTCCCTCTGAAGAGTGCAGGGTGCTAGGTTTCCACCTGATGCTGTCTGATGGAGTGGGACTGCTTATTTCTTAGCTTTTGGGAAACTTTCAGAAGGAAAGTTACTTTACCAATGTAAAATTTTATCTTATCACTAAACTGGAAGGGCCAGATTAGATTCTGGTATAAATGCGCTCGACACCATAGGTGAATTTGGCCTGAAGAACGTAGGTCTCAATTCCGGACATCATTTTTAATACCTGTGTAACTTTTTAAAGGAAGACCTCAGAATCTAATCCCATAACAAATGCAAACATAATGTTCATTACTGCTGACTTTAACAGGGAAATATTCGCAGTAGTAAGCAATCTGATTAGTAGTAAGTTGTTAGCCTAATTTATCCACTGTCCAGTTTTAAAGATGCTGTGGTCTGTTGTGTGAACAATAATTTAAATCCTTAACAGAAATCCCCCCCAAATTTGCGAAAAGCACTGAAATAGTTATTTTAAAGCACTCTAAATATTTCTCAGTTCATTCTTCTCCGAGATGGAAGCAAAAGACAGTCAAGAAATAAAAGAAGTCATAGTTTCATAGTTGGTAGGGTCGATAGGGACCTGAGCAGATCATCAAGTCTGACCCCCTGCCAT